ACTAGTGGGGGGACACTCAGGATAGGCCACGAAGAGCACAGGAGCATAGGGCACAGCAGGCCTCGGGATGCAGGCTGCGGGCACAGGCCTATCTTCCATCTTCTGTGGTTACCGTGGTGATGGCAGCATTGCCCAGACAGCGTGCAATCCCTGGGAGCTGGCAAAACGCTAGCCCTTTTGTTTGTAAAATGAGTTCGATCACCCCTGCCTGCCTTACACAGAGTTTCCTTATTCCATAGCCCTCAGGCAACCCCCCGAGGTGCTGACTGCTCTGTCTCTCAAGCAGCTTCACCTGAAGCCATGGCTGCATCAGCAGAAGATAAGGGTTTTCATCCTGCTCCCACAGCACAGGGCTGAGCTGCTGCAAGGAGTGTCATTTGCCATGTTCAGAACCTTTCCTGACTTGGGGCTTATAATGCAGATAAAGCAATACTCTACATGCTATATTTTTCTCCAGACACTGGATATGGCTGAAGATGGGAAGAGACAGCCTCTTGGTTCACCCCACATGGATATTCTTGTGTTCTTGTTAACACAAGTCCAGGAGGATGACCTTGCTCTAGAAGCTTCTTCTACCCTACTACTTCTGCACACACTAGTGGTTTGTAAGATCACGGCGTTGCTTGCAGGCACTGGAAGATGCATCTAGGTTCATTAGGTTGGGTTCCACATGTGCCAAGGGCCATGCACACATGCTCATCAAGCTGTGTTAATTCATGAACAGGGCAAGACAGTGGTGTGGGCTAACTATTCTGATTTAGAGATTGATGTAGGAGAATATGGCCAGGCATATAACTCACTTCTCCATTCTAAGTCACACCATCCCTGCTTGGTGCATGAGGAAGAAGCGTGAGGATGCCCTGTCCCACTCTGTGGTCCCAGAGAGGGGCGCAGCTCTGTGTGCTCCCATCTCAAGAGCAGAGCAAACGAATAACTCAGAGGCAGAAAGGAAGCGATATGGATCCACAGACTGTGGGCCTTGGTGTAAAAACTCTCCCACTGGGTTGTGATGGCAGTCAGCGGAGTTATCCTTCCGCTCTAATCACAATCATTAAATCCCTGCTAAAGTCCCTGTCCTCTGTGTGTCCAAACAGCTCTGTTATCTGCCACCTCCCCGCACGGTGAGCTGGCTCCCCACGGCCCCGGCTCTCATTAACACTGCTCTGGCTGGCTGATGAGGCGAGTGGCAGGCGGCTCTGCAGCCCAGATGAGGTTTGTAGACAGCAGGGGATGTTTATCCAACATGGAGGGGATGAAAGTACAAACAAAGAGAGGCCGCACAATTACTCAGGCATCGCACAGGGCCACTCTCATTAAAGACAGTCTCCCTGACAGGAATTAATCTGAAATGACAACTCAGTGAGCTAATTTAGCAAACGGGTCCGGGGCTTGGCCTGGTGCAAATTGTGGGGCTCTGTCTGCCAGGTGGGGCTGGGTCTGCTCTGCCTGAATCCCTGTACCAGAAGGCATGGAGGCAATGGCAGCCTCGAGTCTCCTTCAGGGGTACAACGAAGATTACACTCCCCTTCTGCACCAATACCTTCTCCTTCCTCTTTCTCCTGCAGCCTCAGGTCACAGATGGGTTCCAACTCATTACGTGCACAGTAATTCTGCCACTATCCTCTGCAACCGTAACCACCAGCCCAGCTCAGATCTTTCCTCCAGGATGCGACCTGCTTGCAATATTAGATGGCTTCTCATTTCTCTTTAATGTTAGAGCAGAGCACTGGGAGGGGGATAAAATACACAGAGAGAAATAAGCAACTTAAAAGGCTTTTCATTTTTTAAGCAAAGATCTGGCTCGGAGAGGCTGCTTTGAATCCCCAAGCAATGAAAAACATTTCTAGTTGGAGCACAGTTTCTCAGTGCCTTTCTATGCTGCGAGAGCACACAGAAGAAAAAAGCTGACCAAATGAACACCTCAAAGTCTGCTGGATCTGCCCAGAACCAAATGACCTAAGGCTGCAAACTCATTAAGATCACTGGCTGCAGTGAGGTAAGGCAGTTGGCATTTAGGTCAGTTGCCTTGGAGCAAGAAAGGGAAAACCTCCCAAACCTCCAAAATAGATATCCGTGAAGCTCCCCACTGAATCAGTACTCAATGCAATGTCACTGCCTAGCCCACCCGGCTGACACGCTCCAGGAAGTAACAGCCTGTTTGCAAAGACAAAGGCTTTACAAGAAATTTGCTCTACAATGCTAGTATATGTGCTTTGCCTGGGTCAGTGGCTCCAAGCTGTCAGGCTGTTTATTGGGTTTTAATTTAAGGTTAATTCTTATTCTACTGGAACTGGTACGTCTGCTGTGCTATTCAGCCTCTGCTGCAGGGCTGGGAACAATCAGCTCCTATGGAAATGCACCTGCCTGTCTTGCTGGGAGCCCATGCATTGCTTAGGAAAACAAATTCCCCCAGGCTGCTTGCAATCCCCGAAGGAATGCCCAACCAGCCTTCCCAAACAGCCCTCGGAAGCCATTGAAGAGGGAGAGCTGGAAGAGCCATAGCACCCGCCAATTAATAAGCAGCACTTTTACCCTCACCCAGCCCCATTTTCAGCAGCTGCAGCAAGTAAATTGGATTCAAGGGTTCCCAGGTGCTTTGAAAATCATCCTTCTACTTAGGGATCTTCACATTACATATGCTAAGAGCTCTTCAAGTGAACTGGGGAGAGCAAGAGGAAAACCAGCAAAGCATGTTAAAACCAGCGGGCATTCCAGCTGGTTGCCCTTTGGACTCCACCTAAACAAAAGCTAAGAACCCTCCCAGACAGCCTGTCACCATCCAGCAGGCACTGAGAGATGGCATGCTGTCCTGCTCACATTTGTCCTTACAGTGCTGAAGAGCATTTGGCCATGGAGGCTGGGGAGCTCCCAGGGCTGGAAAAGGTGGGCTGGCTGGCTGGGTAAGCTCTAATCAGTTTGATGCTGGCAGTAAATCAATCATGACCTGTTGTTTTTTTTTGTTTGTTTTGTTTTGGTTTTTTTTTTTTTTTTTTTTAAATTTGAAGAGAATATCCCACTTCAGCACCAGCTCTCTAGGAGGACTTTTGTGCCACCTTAACTAAAGTCTGGAAGCCAGTGCATCCTGTGAGGAGGGTACCCAGGCAACCAGTGGCTCCTCATTCAGTCAGACAAATCCCTTTTCTTAAGAGCTCTTCAAACACCAATGCTTTTAAGCATTTGAGCTTTTTACAGTTATATTCATTAACGTCACCATGTTCTGCAGTTTGACAATTGATCAGCAGGACACAAAGCTCAGCTCACATGCCCCAGTAAGGGGAAGAACATGACGAAGGAGCAAAGACTGCAGGACATGGAAGAGAGGTACGGTGCAGGGGAAAGAGCAGAAGGACTAACAAGAGTGCTATAAGCCCAATGGAGATGTCACAAGGAAAACACCAGAGAGACAGCAGCACAGCAGAGAGCTCAGTGAAGCCTCAGCACATGGAGCTGTGGAGACCTCATCATGTGACGCAAGTGGCTTTGCAGGAGGAGGGCCAGGCAATACTGGTAAGATGCCTTCCAGACTTTCCTCCTTGTGCTCAACAGAATGGGAACAATGCTCCCCTGCTGCCTCCTTGCTCTGTCATTTGTTATTCAGAACTGGGCCACCAAGATGGGACCTGTAGAGATTTCTAAGAGCCTGATCATACATCACATTGGGATACAACACAGTCATGGTACAATGACTCCTCCAAAATACACCTCTTACCAGTCAATACCATGTAGTGATGCTGCGCAAGAAACATTAGCAGCAGTAACCAATGGGATATGGAAAAAAACAGAAGATTAGGCTTTCCCAGGCACTCCTGGCACTTCCTTTACCTCAGAACTTAAAGCAGAAATGTGGCTTTTCTTTCACTTAAACCCTTTTGCTAGATGCACAACGAGGACAAGAACCAAGATTACTTTCAGGCACTGTGCAAAAGGAAAAAAAAACTCAACATCACTGGAGAAAGATAAAAATCACAAATTAGTTTGTGAAGTTGCAGTGCTGGTAATAGCAAAACTTGGCTAACAGGGAAGGGGTACTGTGACAAACTGCTTTCATTATTAGAGGCTCCCCTGTGTCCTGTATTATTATTAAGCACTGACAATGCGTTCTGCGCTGCATGAGGAACAAACAAAGGCTGTCCCACCCCAGAGAGCTCACAAGCAAACGGAGACATAAAACTGAAGCCTACTGTGCAGAACTACAGGAGAGAGAAACTTGGATCGTTTAGATTATTTTATTTCCTATCTGCAGTAAACAAACTTCTCCTTACAAAACATATTTGCTTCCAAGCTACCACTGAGTGGCAAGAAGTACCAATTTGAAGCATCCCCATTTTTAAAATGTGTTGAATGCAGGCACTTTGATGAGCTTGGATGAAATTATCTGGCAATCCTTACTGGTTAATGTGCTCTTTAAAAATATCAGACTTCTCCTTGTCCTTCTCCAACCAGTGCAATCTTCAGCTTTTCCTCAGTTCTCCTCTCAGTCCGATTTCCATACTCTGGTGTGATTTCTCTTCACATTCAGCAAGCCTTGCAACACACTTCTCTTTCCCTGCAGAGTTTATGTAGTCCCAATAGCTTCATTACTGTGACAGTATGAAAGCCCTTTTGCAACACAGACACTGACTTTCCTGCAGTTCCTGCCTGGAGAGCTCTTCAGCTTATTCCCTTTATTTCACATGAGTGTTGAGGGTAGAAGCCTACTTACTTGAATCTTTGGCCTATGAAATCTCTAAAATCTACTAATGACTGTGGATTTTTGTTCATATTAACCTCCCTTCAGAATACTGAGCACTAGCCATCTGATGGGAAGCAGCAATGCTCTGAAAGCTCCCAACTGTACCCAGCATCTAACTTAATGAACACTGAGCTGTGTACTCAGCCCGTGTAACCGATTCAGCCGGGAAGGCACAAGACCACCTACAGCTCTTAATCATCAGGGAGAATGATGTAACTGCCCCCAAGGTCCTCTCCTCAAAAGCATGAACCAGGGATGCAGACCTTACCTGCCTGACTTCCAGGCGATACTTGAGGATAGGATCCACAGCATCAGGTTCCTTCTGTGTCCACTGCAAGATGTAAGAGTAATTCTTGGATTGCTTCTGGCTCAGGGTGGGGTTTGGAGTGTCATAGTAAAACTCAGGGCTGTAAGCTTTTGCTGAAGGAAAAAACAAAAAGGAGGAAAGTAAAGAGTGGGATAGAGGGGGAATATAAATTACAAAGATATCAGGTGAGTAAAGGAGCTCTTCTCACCCAACTTATCATCTGCCTTTGGCATGAGAGATTCTTTCAATATTCCAGCTGTTGTACTGACATGTTAAATAGTTCATGGCATCTTTTTTCTGTGGACTGCTTCTGCTTTCACAGCCTAACCTACTGGGAGGGTTCACAGACCTGCAGCACCAGTGGGGCATGACTGACACCAGAAAAGGTGGAAACAGCTTCGATTCTCCAGCTGGAACCAGCTCTACTCTTTTGTGTCTTGCTTTTTGTAGCTTAGGTTGAGGTAACTTTAAACTGGCATTTCTTCTGTTTCATCTGCAGCTTTACAGAGTCTCCTGCTAACAATCCCCAAGGAAAGATCATTTGGCCAGTAGGTCATAGGAAAAGTGCTATTTATCACACAGGGGACAATGGCACTCAAAAGGAGACCTTGTTCCTTCTGCATCTCCCCTACCTTGAAAACACAGTGCTCCAGCCTCTTTGTAGCACGGCTGTCAACTCTGCAGCAAAGGGGATGTTGACCTCAGCCAGGGTGAAAACAGCAAGAGATTTTGCAGGGACAGAGTTTTCTAAACCCACGTCTCTAAAAAACTAGAAGGAAGCAGGAGGAAAAGAAACACAGAAGGAAAGATGTACTACAGAGAATAACAGAATCGTAGCATGGCTTATGTTGGAGGGGACCATAAAGATCTCCAAAAGCACCTTGCCTTGGACAGGATTACCAACCACTAGGTAACCACTCAGGGCCCAGTCCAACCTGGCCTTTAACGCCTCCAAGGATGGGGAGAAATTGGATGGTTCAGAGAAGAAGGGTTTCCTTGTCATTTCACCAGCCACTGCTGACCTGAACCAGTAACTCAAAGGCTGGTAGAGTAATGCACTGGGCATGCTTATCTCCAGTCCAGGTCTAATCCAGGCCTGCACACAGGCAGGGAAGGCTGCAGGAGAGCACAGTAGCCCCACAACTATCTTCTTAAGTACTGTGTTGCACCTTGCCTCTTGAATCCTGGGCCCGGCCATTCAGTAATGATTTTAATTAGGCTCAAAAGAATTCAGCATTTTATTTTTTATGAACTCAGATGGATAATATTGATGTGTATTTCCAAGTCTTTTTTTCCTTATTATTTTTATTGACTTGAATTTTTGCACAAGCAAGAAGTTCAGAACCACCTCAGAGACTAATTGCTGCTTATTCAACTTGTATTGACTGTGGAAGTCAGGCTTCATAATGGATTCAGAAATAAAATCAGAACTGATTATAATCATAATCTTGCATGATATTAATTCCTTATTAATTGACTCTAAAATAGAAATAGAAGCTAAAAAAAAATCCTTTTAATAGAAAGGAAGCACATCAAGATACTTTTGGAACTTCCTTTCTGGCAACTTTTACCATTGACAGAAAGTTTGCCTTTCTCCTCCAGCTGACAGAAAGAGCTAAAGGTTATTCACTCAGTCTTTCAGGGCTTTTTTGTGCCGGTAGATGGTGGGGAGCACGTGATGAGTGGTATGGGGAGGGTCTGGATGTGGATTGGATGTTTTTCCAACCTTCCACAATATCACAGAAAAGCTAATCTCCCATGCACAGAAGGAACTAATCCCACAACACAGATCTTTCCATCTTGGGCATGGTTTTGTATTCCGCTTCCAGTACATCTGAACACCTCATGGTCACAGGTGAGTCACTGCCTGCCCATCAGCTAGGAAGGTTTATGGTCCGTCTTTCCAAGAAAGAAACAGAAACAAAAAGAAACAATGCTGTTCCTCCTGCTTACAAAGGAAGGTTGTAGCAGATGTGAATTAAAACTCCAGCAGTCCTCAGCCCAAGTACCATAGCCTAGCCACCGATTTTTCTGGTTACTTTACAGGTTCAGAAGGTCCAATTGATTTGCAGTTGCCCAGGCAGAGATGTCTGGAGCTGAAAAGCCAGCATCGGCTATCAATGCCAGGGAAGGAGAAGAGAAATGCAGAAAAACAAATGCTTGCAGCTTTCCCGGCAAGGGCTCTGTAGAGATGACCACCGCTTTCTGTTAAGGGAATCTTGTCACATGGGGCATGACCTGGCACACACAATGGCATTATGTACTACTTATTTTTCCAGCAATATTTAGATCCTGGAAGTATTCCCAAATTTGCTAAGAACAAAGCTTGCCATGGTGGGAAATTTGCAAATTATTCTCTCTTTTTTTTTTTCCCCCTTTCTTTCTTTTCTTTTTTTTTTTTTTTTTTTTTTTTTTTCCAGCCCCTTCTTGACATGTATTATAAATTGGCCCTAGGCTGAAAAAAAAATATTTTGACTGATTTTTTAGTTTATTAAGGGAACCTCATTTAAGAGCTTGTTTAGAATCTGGTGCCCAACTCGATTCTGGGGTCATGGGAAAAATAGATTTAATGATCAGCCAGAGAGGCTAGAGCAGATGTGTGGTTTTAGTTGCTATAACTCTGCTGCTCTTCTCTGCAGTTGCAGGTGCTAGGAGCCAGTGCCACTGCATGCTGGAAAAAGAAAACTGAGCAGCAAATCTACTAGTACTAGTATCCAACACAAACTTTGTTTTTCTTTTCAGACATCGTAATACAAAGTCTGCCTAGAGACGTAGGGAAGGCATAGGAATACATGGTGTGGTTGGTTGAATTGTTTGAAAGGGAAAAATGGATGTTTTTGGAGACTGCTGGGGTACATAGAGCTTTTCTATCCTCTTGGTTAGTACTTACTTACAAATAGCTTGCCCAAGCCGGAAAGTTTATGAGTCTTGAGTTTTAGTCCCACATCTTTCAGGCAAGCATCTAAATATTGTTAAAATACAGCAGAGGCTGCACTAGCTGCCCCTGCTCCATATGGCCTTAAAGGTCTGCCTAGATGATAGACACAGATGCTCTACTAGCTTACAGAAGGCCACCCCATTTGAACCCACTTCCACGACGCCATCTAAAGCTCACTCCACTGTGCGCTCTGTGACTCACCAGACACCTGAAAGAGGCAGGCGGAGACCCCCACATCATTGGAGATGCTGCACTCGTAGCTGCCGCTGGTCTCCCGGCTCACGCTGTCCACTTTTAGCTCTGAGTAGTCCTGCTGCTCTGCAGGGGGCTGCGCCAGCAGGGTGCCATTGAAGCGCCAGACAGAGGTGGCCACCTTCATGGGGCTGCCCTTCAGCATGGTGCAGCGCAGGGTGACGCTGCGCCCCATGCCCTGCCGCACATCCTGGAAGGCTGGCTCCACCACCGGTGGAACTGGGGACCAAACAGAGACAGACAGTGATGTCATCAGGAAGAGCTGACAATGCTCAGCACTGGCACCACAGTGCTGTCTCTGAGGAGATCTATTGCTTCTGAGAAGACATTTATTGTCTAGCAGGAGACAGACTTTGCCAAACAAAAAAAAAGGAATAACCATCAAGCATTACCTTCTGACTGGGCTGGACCCACCTACTCCCTCCTTACCATTTACTAGGTAGGGGTGGTTTTTAGCAAGCACTCATCCTACAATGAGATACTACTTGGGGAGCTACCAAGCAACGACCTACCACGTGAGAAGTGCAACACTCACTACAGCTTAGCTTCAACACTGGGATCCTAGTCAAAACAACCATAGTCCTTATTCCTCATATCCAGCATTAGTTGCACTCCTTGAGCATGCAGGTATGCTCCCAAGCAATTACACTCATGCTCAACTAACAGGCCTATCAGAGACACCATGTTCAAATGGAGAGATGCACATTGCCTGTCCTCATACAGCACAGAACTCAAAGGATCATAAAATCACAGAATCATTAAGGTTTGAAAAGGCCACTGGAATCGTCTAGTCTAACCATCCACCTACCACAGCTATGCCCTGTAAACTATGTCCCTCAGTGCTGCATCTCCACATTTCTTGAACACTTCCAGGGATGATGACTCCACCACCCTGGGATGTCAGAGTGCCTCTCCCATATACATCAAATACATCAATACGATAAATCAGAGACTAGCTACAGGGACCCTGGGTCCTATTCTCATCTCTCCCAACAATGCCATGACATTGCAATGTGAGTCATTTCTCTCCATGTCAGCTTCCCTGCCAGTAGCACTAGAATGATACGTGGACACCTCCTTAACAAAGGAGGTTAAGTCTTGTTCTTTGGCACTTACAAAAATTTATAGGAATCTCATAGTTTGGACATGGTTGAGGTAAAGTAAGGAGAAAGTCTGAATTAGTGTTTCTTGGGTCAACCCCTTATTTAACGCAATAGCAGAAGACTTCAATCTCAGCAGATACCTGATGGACATGTTTCACTTGCAATAAACTCTTAATTAAAACGCTGACGCAAGGGAATAACCAGAAGCTCTCTCTCTAAAATGAGGAAGGCTTCCTGAAAACAAAACAGCTGTTAGCCCAAATGGAAAAGAGGAAGAGCAGGCTTATAGCAGCTCCACCACTGTCACAACTTACCTCTGGATTCAAAGCATCTGCTCTTCTACTGACAACTTCCTTACAGTATAGGCCTACAAAAACACCTGACTCTTCTAAGCATCCAAAGAGCTGCCAAGCACAGCCAGGTCCCCAGACTTGCAGCACACAGCACCCACTGTGCCACAGACACAGCTGCATGCAGGTCTTTCAGCACCCTTTCAGCCCAGAAATAGACGTGCCTGGAATGCTGCAGTGCAGCAGCCCATCCCCTCCCCTAGCCTGACCCCAACAAGACTCTCCTACAGCTTAGTAATAAAAGTGATTTCTCCATCCTTACCACAGCCACCCCATAGCTCTGCTATGCAGTGTCCTCCCTCCTACAAACACTGTCAAATCTGTGAGTATGGAGCATAGAAACACCCCCTCTACCTGGCAGCCCTAGTCAACAGTGGCTGATAGTTTTCTAGATACCTGTTCTCAGCTCTCAGCCTCTGGGCCCTTTACTGTGCTTAAGTGGATTAAAAGCAACCCTTGACTGAACTCACGTTGCTGTGCTGAGTGGTGTGGTCAGCTCATTACAGATGGTTTTGCTAGCAATGTGTCTCAGCAGGTGCTCCAAGCACTGACTTGCCTTTGGCATACACGTCTCCCACCTCACAGTGAGAATTATGTGAGAAGTTGTTTGATTAGACCTAGTGGCATCAATGTGCCATCTCTATCCCTAGCTGCTATCCCATTTCTTGGGTTACATCTGCTCCTTAATTGAAGATGGTGGGGTCTCACATTATAATCAAAGCCAGCTGGTGGTGACAGGAGAAAAAAAAAAAAAAAAAAAAAAAAAAGGTGGGGAGGAGGAGAGGGGGAAATACAAAAGAGAAAAGAAGGCTTAAAAAAACAAAACAAACAAAAAAACTATGGCACAACAGCTCTGGTTGTACTCAAAATGATCCATATCATGAGAGGAAGAGAGGGGAATGGGAGAACAGCACCCATGCATGGAACTGTTACAGAAGAAAGAATCTGAAAGAGGACAAAGTGTTCCTCAGAAGGATATCCCCTGAGCTCCACTGTGGGAGGGCCTGGGGCTGAGACAGTCCAGTTGCTTCTGTAGGTCACAGAAGTAGCACGGCAGCCAAGGATGCAGAAAATATTTAATCTTCCTCAGCTGGGAAATGGGATTTACTTGATTTGCACTGAGACAGGCTCAGGACCTATGCTACTATGCTATCACCTTGTGAAGGGAATGTCTGAAAGTGCCTATACAGTACACACTGATTACATTTTCTCGCCTTTGGCACGAGGTAACAGCAAACAAATACAAACTGTTCTGATGGCACCAAAGCTCCTGAGATCTCAGTAGAGAGAGCTGAAGCAGGTCATGCTATCAGCACAATGGATGCAGCACCATGGCAAGGGGCAGTGCTGAGGGATGGATAGGAAAAGTCAACAGCAACTTCAGTGCCAGATATCAGTTTGTGGCCTCCAACACCTGCTGGGGTGCCAGCACTTCTGTGAGTAGGCTACCCATAAAGGGGAGGCCCACCCTAAGGCAGATTATACAAAGGGTCCTAGCAGATTAACATCCTAGCAGATTAACAAAGGGTCTTTTATCATCTCCGGCTTAAGCACAAAAGAGAGAGCTTGTTTAGATGAGCTGGCACTCTGACGGTCTGCGAGGAGAAACCTACAACATGATTCTGGCTGTGAGGAAGATATCTGCTCCACACAGCAGCATCTGGCTGTCATAGTGCTCTTCTGGAAGCTTGGAAATCAGCCTCAGTTTTTGCCCTGGTTCCAAAGGAGGGTCCTTGCACAGAGGCTTCTCCAAAGTCTTCCCATGTTCCCCTGATCTCCAGTGCTCTGTTAAACAGCAGTTACACTCCAGGAGGCAGGCTGCTATGCTTCAAGGGGAAGGTAAAAAAACAACCAACCTTCTACATGCGCAGGGCACCGGGATTCGCCTGCAAACAACAGGGCAAACAAATACAGACGATTGTTGTTTTCTCTCAGCACTGTTTAGCACTAGAAGAGCCAGCCAGCAGGAGGAGCAATGAAGAGAGCAGCACACTGCTGCTGTAGGCAGCGATGAAGGAGCAAGGCTCCTCCAACAACCTTGTTAAGATGCGGCTGCTGTGAGACAACAGGCAGGGCAGCCTGCCTTCACAGCAGAATTATTGTGCAACAGAAGAAACATAATCATTCACCTGCTCGTTAGGAACAAATCAAATCAGCCCAACACAGGCAACCTACTCCAGCATGCCAGGCGCCCTAAAGTAAAGCCAGGCTGCAAGCAGTTCCCTTGCTGTGAGCCAGAGCAGATGCTCTGCACTGACGGGGCTGCTAAACTAGCATGGTGTTCACAATGATGAAGGGCAGGAGCAAGGGAAGCACAACAAAGAAATGTCAAGTGTCAGGGGGTGTTACTTTGTGCTCCGATAACCTCTCATTTTCTTGGTTTCATTGGGAATAACTAGAACTGAAGCGTACTGTCCTGTCAGGTGAGAGAGAAAAGCACTGGTTGTTGGGCTGTGGCCAAGCCTGCAAATACTTGTTGAAAAAGCCTGTTCTTATTTTAGCCTCGAGGAAGGGAGGTTAGTTCTTCCTCACCAGATCCAAAGTACTTGCTGGAGAGACCATAGTCTCCATGCAGTATTACAGTGAGGCGTCACTATGCTCACACACAGCTCAGGGAGGGCTATTCTGTGATCTCTGTGGTGCCAACTGAGTGCTGTACATTCCTGTCAAGCTCAGATGCCTCCAAAATGCATTTGCTGATGTTGGGTGTTTCCTCCTCCAAGGATGAAGCCAGAGCACCTCAGACTGGCAGCAATGAACCGCAAACAAACAAGATCTACTCTGTCCTCCAACACCAGTCCAATTAAACAAAAATTTACATTTTTCACTTAAATCTGGAAAGTGCAGCATGTAACAGAAGCAGCAACAGTGCCAAGTCTTGCTAGGTTAGAAAGTGGCTTTATTTTCTACAGCACCCAGCCTACTCTACTGAATGACTCTCTTCAAGCCAAGCCATGCAATTACAGCATCAGTGGAACTCCTGCTCACAGGCTTCACCTCACCCTGTGTGTGTGTGAGCTGATAACTGACCGCTCATTTACAGGATTAAAACTGCAAAGAACATACAGAAAATCTTGTATGAAAGACTGTGCTTCCTGTGTAGTCACAATTATTAGCTACATTTTGTTATCCAAAGTGGCTAAAGATGTCAGTCAGCAATTTGTTTCTGGAAATGAGCATGGCTGTGTCAAGGCCTTATAAGATCTATACAACTCCATCCAACATCCATTTGAATTCTGATAGATACCCTCCTGAAGTCATACCAGAGTTGTCTGGATGCCAGCAGAGGGTGCCTTCTTTATCCAGCTCCTTGACCTATAATCTGAGAAGTTAAATATGTCACAATCCTGCCTTCATAGAAACTAGAAAACTCCATGCATTGAGTTCCAGGAGAGACTGCAGCTTTCCCTTCAAGCAAGAAGGAAGCTCTTCTTTTGTCACAAGGGTGTGAAATCACAGTTGAGCAATTCTGTTCTCTAAAACAGCATCCATAATCCATACTCCAACAATGCACGTTGGGTACCAACCAAGCAGTTTTCCATTTGAAGACAAATATCCAACTAATATTTGCAAGTTCAGTTTCCTCTGTTGCTTTCTGAGATAGAAGAGGGGAAATGGAGAAAAACTTGCTCAACCAATCTGAGCTAGAAGCCAGAATATCTTTCCTTCTATGCATTTTGTCTTTGCATTTCAGCATCCTCATGTATAAAGAGATAAAATATTTATTTCTGCAAAATGCTTGAAAGCCAACTTGCAAGTATTGTTA